AAGGAAGGAAGGAAGGAAGGAAAGAAGGAAGGAAGGGGAAGGAAGGAAGGAAAGAGACAGAGACAGAGGGAGGGAGGGAGGGAGGAAGGAATTATTTGAGAACTCGCAGTGCCAGTGGACATCAGACTTAGGTGGAGAATTCCAAAACCACACCATCCTTGAGTATGGTTTATGGCATCTGTACCATTTATTCCCAGTGTGTCACACTTTAGTTGGTCACCTGGAGAATGGCAAAGTGCAGATTCTTTGGTTCCACATTTAGGGAATTCTGAATGACCTCAGTGTAGGTGAGTGGGCCAAGTGCTAAGGAAACTAAGTTTACTCAACAAAATTTCCACAGCACCAATTGAGCGTCAGGCACTGAGACAGCTGGAAAGAGTAGGGAGTCGTGAATGGCCCCACCCTTCCATGATCTTAGATGAGGGAGAAGCTAAGAGAATGTCGGGGAAGTCTTTGACTGCCCTAATCCAGAGTCCCATTCACTCACTCTTCAACAGATCTCGATCTGCCACTCCCACCACAAGCACTTCCTGGGCCAGGACACAGGCAACACTGAGCAACACCTTGTGCGCATTGTGCAGACGGTCAAACGTGCCACCCACAGCCCCACGTCGGTAGCAACGCACAGGCTGCTTTTGAGATCTGGGTAGGGGAGAAATTGGTCTGATAGCAGAATGTAAGGGGGCATTCAAGGACTCCACAGGCAGCTCCTGAGTCCCATAATCGGGGTAGAGCAGCACTGAAGACAGTTGTGGACAACAGCTGTAACAACTGGTGGCATAGCGCTCTAGCTGCTGCTTAACAGGATTGTACTGGCTTCCGTCCAGGGTCTGGAAATCTGTCAGCACTACTTCTGGCGGGTGGGACAGATTCTGCACGGAAGCGGGCATCAGAAAGGTGGACTTGGGTAGGATATTAGTCAGCAGGATTCTCACGTCCAGGTGCCTGTGTAGGTTGGCGCCTGCATACAGGTGCGCGATGAAATCCAGAACCTCAAAGGTGACCTGCACCGGGCTGGACAGGGGCTGGGCCGGACTCTCCAGGCTCAGGCCCGGCTGCAGGTGTACATAGAGGGTGTGATTCACGAAGCGGGCCGCCGAGGTCAAGATGGGAGCCAGGCGGGGAGCCAAGGAGGCCAGAGGCGTCGTCAGCACCAGGAGCCCCGATCTGAATACGGCCATGGCGACGAGGCCTGCGAACAGGCAGGGAGACACGGGGGTGACGGTCCGGGCCTGAAGCAAAGGCCCTGCATGGGGCCTGGCCCCCAGGAGCAGGGACGAGACCCAGGACGGAGCAGGGGACCCGGATGAGCGCCAGGGGCGGGAGCCGCGGACGGCGCGGTGACTTCACTGACATAAACCAAGACGCTGGCAGCGGCGACGCGGCCCGGACTCCCGGAGCCACAGGGCCGGGGACCTGGGAGCCGGATCCCCTCTGGCTAATCTGCACCGGGGTCCCGGAGGGGGAGCTCCCGGGCCCAGGCGGGTTCCCCGACTCACTGAAACCTCAGGCGTTTGGTTCCGCTTTCGCCGCCGCGGAGGGACTCGGGGTGCGGCCCGGAAGCACTACCTCACCCAGCGCAACGCCGAGCGACGGGCAGCCGCACAGGCCAAACGTCTCAACATGCGTTCAGCGCGGAACTCTCGCGAGAGGGCTCGTGGTCCGGCGCTGGCGGTGAGGACTCTGGGGGCTGGACCAAGTCTGCCGTGACAGGTGCTCGTGTTTCGAGCGGGATGTAAGGTTGGAAGAGCTGAGAGATTTGTTTCCTACCGAAGAGCTCCTGGCCAAGCTAGAATTCACGCCTGGCTTTGCTTAAGTCCGGGGAGAGAGTGGCCGGAGAGTTGCCCTTGCTTTTAGGCCCGCGTGCCCAGAGCCCCCCTGTGCCCTCCCAGGCCGAGAATTGACCAGGTTGAGAAGTGACTGAACAGCTCTGCCCTAGCCCCCCCCCTTCACAGGTGAGGAAATTAGGGCCCGGATGTGCCAGGGGCAGGGCTCATGGAAACTCTTGAGGCTTCTCTTTTTTTTAGGGGGGTGGGGGAGGCAGGGGGTGTCGGTTGTGGGCCTCTCTGTCCCCGAGCTTTTTTTTTTTTAATTTAATTTAATTTGTGAACATACTGTACAGAGGGGTTACAATTGCATGGGCAGGATAATGCGTACATTTCTTACCAAGCATTGCAGCCTCCTCCTTTGTTTACCCTTCACATCACTTCCCAGCCTCCCCCCTCCCCCCCAATCCCAATCCTTCTCCTTCCCCCCCCCCCCCCCCCCCCCCCCCACCGACGTTGTAAAGCTCGTTTTGGACATGACAACTTGTACTTCTCATTGTTGGAACAGGTCCACCTGTATCCTTAAACAACTGGTTTTTCCCCATCTCCTCCACAAGGAAAGCAGGGGTTATACTGTGGGGGAGGGACATACAAAGCAACAAAGAGATAATCTTATAAATGCGTTAGAAACACATGCATGAAAGAAAAAAACATTAAAATACATATCTAAGGGTTCATTTTCCTGACATCACATTATCTGACCTTTTCTGCTTGACTCACACATGTACTAGATATTGCAAATAAGGGAAACCATGGGACCTATGTTTCTTTGTGCCTGGCTTACTTCACTTAATATAATTTTTTCCAAGTTTTAAAAACCATGGTTAGATGCCACAAAGTAGGTGGCAATGCCTTAACCGTATGCGTGTTGTCAGGCCCAAGGGCCTCTTCCATCTTTGTCAAGGGGAGTGCTAACCTTCTCTCCTTTCATACAACACTGTCCCCGAGCTTTTGTGCCCAAGGCTAGCGCACTACCACCGGTTAATTGGAGAAAAGAGTCTCATAGACTTTTCTGCCTGGGCTGGCCTCGAACCGCGGTCCTTAGATCTCAGCCTCCTGAGTAGCTAGGATTACAGGCGTGAGCCACTGACATCCTGCTCCTCGTGGCTTCTTTGTATGCCGTCTGCACCGAGCAGCATCCCTGTGCCTGTTTACCCGGGCAACAGAGAGCAAGAAGGGTGAGTGGGTTCAGTAGAGTCAAGGAGGATGGATGCTGGCTTTCTTCCATCCGCTTCCCAGTGAACACACAAAATCACAGACCCACTCGTGAAAAGCATTTCAGGGTATCTCACAAGGAAAGTCTCAAAGTTAAAGTTTTAGCAAGGAATTATTCCAATATAACAGGGTCAGACCAGGAGAAATTAAAAAGTGAAAACCAAGTGCCGGTGGCTCAAGCCTTTAACCCTAGCTACTCAGCAGGCTGAAAGAGCTGAGGATCACAGTTCGAAAAAGCCAGCCTGAACAGGAAAGTCTGTGAGACTTTTCTCTCCTATTAACCACCAAAACACAGGAAATCAGTGGAGCTGTGGCTCGTGAGGCTAGCCTTGAGCAGAAACAGCTCAGGTACTGCACCAGGCCTTGAGTTCAAGCCCCAGGACTGCAACTGGAGGTTTTAATCTGTAGCCTCCAAACCCTACCCATTCATGAGTTGATGTTTACCATTTCAGAGGAGAAGGAAGAGGAAGATCACTCTTGTGTATGTCTCCTTATACCTTTAAGTGAAAGGTGTAGTAGAAGGAGTAGTTTGTTTTCCTCAATTTACTTCCTGCTTTTAGAGTGTTTGGTGCCATCCTGTAGCTTTCAAGGCTGACATTCTTACCACTTGAGCCATAGCTCCACATCTGGCTTTTTGATGTTAACTGGAGATGAGAGTCTCAAAGATTTGTCTGCCTAGGCTGGCTTCTTAATCCTCAGATCTCAGCCTCCTGAGTAGCAAGGATTACACACCTGAGCCACCAGAGCCAGGTCCTGGCTTTAAATTTTGCGTCTGGGAGCTGGGAATGTAGCTTAGTAATACAGTGCTTGCCTAGCATGCATGCAACCCTGGGTTTGATTCCTCTGTACCACATAAACAGAAAAGGCTGGATGTGGCGCTGTGGCTCAACTAGTAGAGTGCTGGCCTTGAGCACAGAGAGGGACAGGCCCACTCAGGCTCTGAGTTCAAGCCCCAGGACCAGCAAAAAAAAAAAAAAATGTTTTGAGTCTGGCCCATTTGATGTTTGCTTCAAGCAATATAATTTCCCTGTATCCTCATCTCCCCATCCTGCCTCATTAGAGCTTCTGATGTCTCTGCCAGGAGAAAAAGGGGTGGTTAGGGCTGGAGACTTAGTGGTAAGTATTTACTAGAGCTTGAGGAGGCTGGGGTTATAATAATAGCAACGTGGGGGAGAAGCCAACATTCTAGATGAATTATCCAGGGAGATATCAAAAGAAAGAGTAACCAATCCTAAAAGTTTCTACAAAATGCTGTCCTTCCCCAGCAACACCACTGAGCAAACCAACCTTCAGCTGTACACATCTGCCTTTGGAGTCAGGGACCAAAGAGTTGTAAAGCCATATACATTGGGTTGGTATTGTCTGGGCCAGGACTGGGATTTGAACTCAGAACCTACCTCCTTCTTTTGACTTTTTCTACTCAAGGCTAACATTCTACCACTTGAGTCACGCCTCCACTTTAGCTTTTTGCTGGTTAATTGGAGATACAAATCTCTAGAATTTGACTGGTCTGTCATTGAACTGTGGTTGATCTTCCTATCTCAGCCTGGTGGCTAGGATTACAACACTCTGCTTTTAGTTGGGTTTAAGGGTTTGATTTGAAAAAACAAAAACAAAGACTATTGGTATGTCCCAAAGCATTTGCATACCTCATTTAGCACACCAAGTTACTTTGATTCAGAAATGTATGTTTAGTGCAGGTTTATTCTAGGACAGTAACTGGACAGTAACAAAAAGTCCTGACCTTCCTGTGTCTTAGGATATGGGTGGTTAATAATTTTTTTTTTTTTGAGTCAGGTCATGGGGCCTGAACTCTGGGCCTGGGTGCTGTCCCTCAGCTCTTCAGCTCAAGGCTAGTGTTCTACTACTTAAGCCACAGTGCCACTTCCAGCTTTTTTCTTTTTGCTTATGTGGAGCTGAGGAATTGAACCCAGGGCCTCATGCATGCAAGGCAAGCGCTCTACCACTGAACCACCTTCCCAGCCCCTAATAAAAATTTTTTAAGCCATGAACAAAAATAAACTCAAACATGCCAGGCGCTGGTGGCTCACGCCTGTAATCCTAGCTACTCAAGAGGCTGAGATCTGAGGATCGTGATTCAAAGCCAGCCCGGGCAGGAAAGACCGTGAGACTCCTATCTCCAATAAACCACCAGAAAACCGGAAGTGGCGCTGTAGCTCAAGTGGTAGAGTGCTGGCCTTGAGCTGAAGAGGGACAGCACTCAGGCCCAGAGTTTAAGCCCCACGACCGACAAAAAAATAAATAAATAAAAGTAAATAAACTCAAGCCGGGCGCCGGTGGCTCACACCTGTAATCCTTTCTACTCAGGAGGCTGAGATCGGAGGATCACGGTTCAAAGCCAGCCTGGGCACGAAAGTCCATGAGACTCTTACCTCCAATAAACCACTAGAAAACTGGAAGTGGTGCTGGCTGTGGCTTAAGTGGTAGAGCACTCACCTTGAGCTGAGGAGTGCAGGGACAGTGCCGAGGCACAGCGTTCAAGTCCCAGGACCAACAAAAATAAATAAATAAATAAAACAGTTGGAGGGACCATACTGGAGGCAATGTAATACTATTTTATTTTAGTTCAGGAAAACAGCAAAGAAATAGTATCAAAAATCATAGAAGAGCAAACCAGACAGGGAACAGCAAGTACTAGACCTTGAGGCAGGGGGTCAGGAGAGCCAGAATAGATGGAGAAGGACAGTGGGGGAAGCGCAAGTCAGTGGAAGGCAGGAGGCAGATCACATCACAGAAGGTCTTGGAGACCTTGTGGGGAAACCTTGGAGTTTGCAGATAGGAAGTTACAGGCCCTGTGCCCACCCCGCCTGCACTCCAGCTCTGTACTGGGCTTCAAACCCACAGCCTCTTGCAGTAAGTACTCTGCCACTGAACCAAACCCCAGTCCAAGGTTTTATTTGGTGTGTTTGGGGTTTCTTTTGTGAGGTTACTGGGATTTGAACTCAGGGCCTCATACTCTCACTTAAGTTCTTTCATTTGAGGCTGGCACTGTACCACTTGAACCACACTTCACTTGTGACTTTTTTGCTGATTAACTGAAGATATAAGGGTCCCTTAGAAGCTGGGCATTAATGGCCATGCCTGTAATCCTAGTTACTCGGGAAGCTGAGATCTGAAGATCATAGTTTGAAAGTCAGGCCTGGCAGAAAAGTCCATGAGACTCTTTCCTTCAAAAACTACCCAAACAAAACAAAACAATTATGCCTGTAATCCTAGCTACTCAGGAGGTTGAGATCTGAGGATCGCTGTTAAAAACTAGCCCAGGCAGGAAAGTCTATGAGACTCTTATCTCCAAGAAAATCACCAGAAAACCAGAAGTGGTGCTGTGGCTCAAATGGTAGAGCGCTAGCCTTGAGCTGAAGACCTGAGGGACAGCGCCCAGGCCCAGAGTTCAGGCACCATAACTGGCAAAAAAAAAAACAAACTAGTAGAGCTGTGGCTCAGGTGGTAGAGCTCTAAACTTGAGCAAAAGAAGCTACAGTGCCCAGTTCAAGCCTGAGGACCTGC